GGAAGATGGCATTCCAGACAGAGGGAAGTACACCATCCAGGGCAGGTAAGCATGTTGGGGGTTCATAGATGATTTGGTTTGGCTGTGACTGGGCAGTGGGGCAAAGTACCAGAGAAGTCTTCTTGGGGCTGGTTGACATCCCTCTGAAAGCAAGCCCCCACATGGACATGAGGGCATGGGATAGTTCAGGGTGGGTGTGATGGAGGGATCAATGAGCATTAGGTTGTTCCCCCAGCTATGCAGTTCGGCCTGGAGCTTTGCACGACTGACTAGGAATCTCAAGAGTAATCTTGGCGGCTGCCCCGAGCCTTGCCCGGTGCCATCTAATCTGCAGATGGCTTTAGTCCATCCAGAAGTGGTATCTTCACTGAGTCACTCACTTTCCTGACACTTAGTAGAAAATCAATAAGCCTTGGGTCCTGTCTCCTTCCTTTCTCCAAATTCCTGAAGACTGTGCCCAATACCTACCCAGGAGGCCACTTGACCATACAAGGACTTGACCAGAAAGTAGGAAGACAGGCCCGGGCTGGGCCAGGTGGACCTGAGTCTAGAAAGTGTTAGTTGCTCAGAGGTGTCCAACTCTTTGTGACCCCATGGACTGTGGCCTGCCAGGCTCCTCTGTCCATGGGATTCTCCAGGCAAGAATACTGGAGTGGGTAACCATTCCCTTCTCCAGGAGATCTTCCTCACCCAGGGTTTAAACCTGGATCTCCTGTATTGCAGGCAAATTCTTTACCATCTGAGCCACCAGGAAAGCCTGGCTAGTCTAGAAAGGGTCAGGCAAAGGCTATGGGGACCAGTAGCCTTTCAGCCGAGTGGAGAGAGGGAGGGCCGTTTCTGATTCTCTGCCGTGAAAAAGCCCCATTGTGGGGTCTTCAGGGGAGAATATATTTATTTTGTTTCCTGAGCTGTGTGAACAGGGCACTGTGCTGCCTGGGTTGAGAGGCTTCTGTGTGGCTGGGGAGGGATCACACCCCCCTCCTGGGTGGTGTGCTATGAAAAGGCTTCATTCAGCCGGGCCTGGCGGCCCACCGACAGCCCAGGCTCCTGCGCTGTCCCTGGGGGCGGCCTGGCTTCCCTCCCTCTCTCCCTGAGGTACGGGCTTGGGGCTGGGTGTGGGTGTGGAGGCCACCAGGTCAGGCCCAGTCCCCGTGGGGCCCCGTCACCCTCAGGTTTGGTCCCTCAACTGCACACCTCGGTGTGGAGCTGGCCGAAGGAGAGGGCCTGGGACACAAGAGCCATTTGGTCCCTGTCTCGACTTGAGGTGTAACTCACATTGAGAGAAGTTTCACACATGCAGTCATAGAGAACTACTGAGGCTGACCTTCACCATACAACTTTAAATCCTTGTTCATTGCTAGGCCTCATGTTGCCAAGTTGGGGGTTGGGGGGGCGGCAGGCTCTGTATGTTTATATAATTTCTATGATTATTTTGTGAATAGCACAATTATGTTGCATTATTTTGGGGTGTATGTGTGTGTGAAGAGTGTTAATTTGTTCACAGGAAATGCTTTAGACACACCTCAATTTTTGGAACCCTGTTTGGCATCTTTCTATTTTTCGGTACACTGGGAGACTCAGTCCCTGGAAGTAGACCAAGATCGTCTGGACCTCTGAGGGCCCTTGGCAGAGACAGCCTACCTCCTGAGCACGTCTGGATGCGAGGGGTGAGGTGAGCGGGCAGGATGCCCGAGTCCCGGGCAGCCATGGGAGCTGTGGGTGGAAGGACTGCCTCCTGGCCAGCCGTCCCTGTGAGCGGGCAGAGAGGCCAGGGAGGGGTCCTTCTGAGAAATTGACTGGCTTCCTAGGTGATCAGGCTCCTGACGGGGAAGATGAAGTTCAAATCCTTGTGGGGCTGTTCTCTGTCTGCCTCTCCCACTGTGCTAGGCTCCCAGGCCAAGCATGGGCTCTCTCTCACTGGATGTGCTCCCCACCCCGCTCAGACCCCCACCCCAGTTCTCTACTGCCTTTCTGGGCTCACACCACCCACCTGGGTCCACCAGCAGAAGCTATCTTACTCAAAGTTTAAGGAGGAGAGCCCAGAACCCCCAGCTGCCGTGGGGTCTATCTCAGTGAGTGGGTGGCTCGCTGTCACTATCCTGCCTGTCACACTGGCCTTCTGTCTTCTAGACTGGCCCTCCAGCTCTGTCTCTGCCTCACTGAATGACCATGGGAGGTCACTGAGCCTTGGTCTTCTCATCTGCACAGGGGAAGGATTGCATTGATTGGTCGCTGAGGGCCCTCAAAGCTCCAATTTTCTGTAAGTCTGGAAATCTGGATGCAGGTATACTGCAATCAGACTGGAAATATCTTTACACGAGTACATGGGAGGTCATGCCTGGATGCTAGCCACTCTGTGTGCCGCAACACTCCCCAAAGGGGGTTTCTCCTGGACATTTGCCTCCACATTAAAGATGTTTGACTGGGGCTTCCCCGGTGGCTCAGTGGATAAGAATCCAGCTGCCAGTGCAGGAAACATGGGTTCGATCCCTGATCCAGGAAGATCCCACATGCCGCAGAGCAGGTAAGCCCATGCACCACAACTATTGAGCCTGTATTTTAGAGCCCAGGAACCGCAACTGCTGCGCCTCAGTGCTGCAGCCACTGAAGCCCGCGTGCCTAAAGCCTATTCTCCAAAAGAGAAGCCATCGCAATGGGAAGCCCGTGCACCACAACTAGAGAGTAGCCCGTGCTTGCTGCAAGTAGAGATAAATCCTTGCAGCAACGAAGACCCAGCACAGCCAAAAATAAATAAATAAAATGAAATTATAAACAAAGATGTTTAACTAGTACACAGCCCCCCTCATCCTTCCCTCTCTTTGCAGACAGTCATAGAGAAGGGCTGGATGCTGGTGTCAGGAGCGGAAGTTGGGGAGTGAGGCAATGAGGCTAAGGAGGGAGGGAGTTGGGAGTGGGCTGCACTGGAGGGGTGACTGCTCAGCCCTGGGGAGCCCTGAACTCTCAGCTGCCTGTTCTAAAACAGGGTCTGATTTCAGGTTATGGCCCACTGAGCCCCTGGAGAGGTTCCCTTCCCAGAGGAACAAGAGGGCCATTTGCTCTCCAGCAAGACTTCCTGATGGGGAGGCATCTCGGTGGCCCTGCACATGCTTTCAGTCGTGGACTTGTACTCAAGGGTGAAAAGAAGGTAAGGGAAGCATCTGGCTGGGCATGGCTCAAGTGCCTGAGAGATGCATATACCAGCAACTCTAGCTGAGATGTGACATCACTCTGAACTTGCAGGAGAGGGATCTGGCTTATCTGACACACGACATAGTCATCCCAGAGAAAGCTGGGATGTTCTCAAAGGATGAAGGATGGATTCACAGATAGATGGATGGATAAAATTAAGCTTATCTGAGAGAGAAATCTCTAATGACTTTATGTAGATGCTTATTTATTTAAGAGAGAAAAACTGAATTTCATCTCAATGTTTTGAGCCTGATGGACTAAGAGAATGAGTCTGAAAGGGAGGGCTGCTGGTCAGGGTTGTGGAAAAGAGATGGATGTTCAGCTTGCAGAGTGGGGATCAGGCAAGGATGGCTTGATCAGAGATCTGTTGGGTTTGAAGCAGCAGAACAGAAGCCAAGTGGAACAAGGGGTTCTTGTCAAGGTGGGGATGTAGATTTGGAAACTTCATACATAGAGATGATAGCTGATAGTCTGTGAATGAGTCAGTTCTCAAAAGAGAGACATTATGGCAAAATATGAAGAATAGGGACCTCAGAAGCTTGAATTAATATCCTTTGGTTTATAAATGGGCAAACTGGGCTCCAGAATTTGCCATTCATTCACCTAGCAACCCATCCATCCATCCATCCAACCATCCATCCACTCAACAAATATATTTATCCAGAAGCTATAATGTACAAGGTAATATTCCTGATAATGTTCATGGTTAAGGGCCTGATAAGGGATAGTGTCAGCAAGTGGGCAGTGGAGAGAGAAGGATATGGGAACCAATGAAGGAGGATGTTCAGGAAAGCCAATAGCATCCTATCTCATGGAGCTCAAAGAGCAGTAAAATTAAAGAAAACAAGCTGGGTTTGCTCTCTGGTGGATCCTGGGAGAGAGTTTTGGTAAACTGTTGGCAAGGAGGAGTCATGAATGAAGGAGTTAAGGAGAGACTCTCTATACTTCTGGAAGATGGACAGAAATGATGTTTATCTTCTGCATCATGCTTTTCAGTGTGAAACACTATATCTGTGTAACATTCACCAATTACAGATGTATTGTCTGTAATGTCTAAATAGTGTTCCATCAAGACAAGTTTCCCTGATATAGAGCAGATGCTCTATTGCCTACCATCAGTCATTTACTAGTGAAAGCATGTGCTTTGGGAAAAGCCCTGTGCCAGACAGCAGAAGATCTGGTTTCGAGTCCTGGCTTTGATGTCTGTCAACCAACCAGATTACGTTGGCCAGATCATTCAATAAGAGCTTTTTATGCATACACCAACGAAGTTACTTCCTACCCCTTCTCTGGTATTGCTGTTCACTTTGGACTTTCCGCAAATATATTACTTGCAATTTGTGGCTGCTAAATAAATACACTTGTCGTGTCGATGGATGAAAGGATGGATGGCTAGGTGGATGAGATACAAATTCTGGAGCTCCGTTTGCACATCTATAAACCAAGGGACATCAATTCAAGCTTTCTGAGAGTCCTTCCATCTCCAATCATCTATGATCTTCTCTGACTAAGCTTTTTATTAAAATCACAAGCAGAATTCTTCCAAAGTTGTTTAGAGCTAGCACACCTGGACCAATTAAGCTTCTATAGATTATCCCAGTGAATCTCCTTGAGGTTAGAGACTGGACCATCTATTATCATGGCTCCAAAACCTTTCTTCTATGATCAGAGATAGAATCTTAAAAGGTTGATACTAAGCATTCACTGAAGGAAAAAGGAATCACTTCCAACTATACTCTGATTCTCTAGAGACACTTAAGGATGTGTTTGGGGCTTCCCTGGTGGCTCAGATGGTAAAGAATCTGTCTGCAATGTGGGAGACCTGGGTTCAATCCACGGGTTGGGAAGATTCCCCTGTAGGAGGGCATAGCAACTCACTCCAGTATTCTTGCCTGGAGAAGCTACATGGATTCTTGGGTAGGCCACAGTCCGTAAAGTTGCAAAGAATTGGACACAACGGAGTGACTAACACTTTCACTTCAGCATGTGGTTCTCATGGTAGACAACATGCCAGAGTGTTTGCCAGCAACTCAAAGATGTCCTTGATGAGAGGACATGTCCCTGTAGCTCGTTTCTGGTGAGCCACCCCTATGTGGCTTCGCAGTTTCAGGTTTGAGCTTGTTTCTTCCCTGATAGCTCAGTTGGTAAAGAATCTACCAGCAATGCAGGAGACCTTGGTTTGATTCCTGGGTCAGGAAGATCCATTGGAGAAGGGATAGGCTATCCATGTCAGTATTCTTGGGCTTCCCTTGTGGCTCAGCTGGTAAAGAATCCGCCTGCAATGTGGGAGACCTGGGTTTGATCCCTGTGTTGGAAAGATCCCTGGAGAAGGGAAAGGGCACCCACTCCAGTATCCTGGTCTGCAGAATTCCATGAGCTGTATAGTCTGTGGGATCACAAAGAGCCGGACACAACTGAGAAACTTTCACTTTCTACATTCATCAGTCCATCAACTCAGAATCCGGATCATCAGCACAGAATCCCAGTTACAGGGTGAAAGGGAAGCTGACCATTTGGAAAGCATCCAGAGGCAGGTGGCCAGGAGGGTGAAGGGTCTGGAAATGCCTGAAAATGAGGAGCGATGAAAAGAACGAAGGGTATTCATCCAGAAGAGAAGATGACATGGCACCTGCTGCCAATAGTGCTGTCCAAGCTCACTGGGACTAGAGTTTGTACTTTTTTCTCTGCATGGTCCTGAGAACAAACCTGTGACTGGTGAATGGGAGGAACAGGGAGGCTGATTTCAGCTCATTCTAAGAACCTCAGGAGGTTTTTTTTTTCAGCCAAGTTATAAGAATACAGAATTGACTGCCCAGGGAAGCAGAGAGTAGGCTGACAATTGCCAAGGATGGAGGAACACAGATTGCCGTAAGCTGGGTAGTTACACCAGGTGACTTCTCAGACTTCTTTCAGTGTGGAGGTTCCAGGATCCCAAAGAATTTCGAAGTGGAGTAAAGAGAAAGCTCTTTGCTTTGTCGATTTAGAAATTGTCTGCTGGTCTTAGCTGTGGTTCATCTCATACCTGCTGATCTTCTCTAAACACATTTCTCTACTCAGTGGTTTGGGTCTTCCAGCTGAAATGGTTATATACCTCTTTTCTCTCTCTCTTTCCTTATTAAAGGATTTTTTTGGGGGGATCTTTTTCTTTTCCAAATAAAGAACTTAGGAAGTCTCAGGAAGACTGGACCTATGTGGAGAAATTCCATAAGAAATAATTAACCAACCAAACAAACAATAAACCTCCAAGCCAAAATTATATGGCAGTGAAGTGCACACCTCCAAAATTCAGGTTGTTCTACTGTCCAGAGCACAGAACTTTTGTCTGTCTTCAATATCTGATGGATTTGCCTGACCCAAGATTGGACTTCTTAAGTTCGATTCTGAGCATGGGTAGGTGAGAAACCCTCTGAAGCTCACTTCTCCTGAAGATGGATAGAGAGGGAGAAACTTGGTTTCCATGGCAACTAGGGGTCCCAATCATAAGCAACCATTTTTTCTACCTGGAGCCAAGTCTTCGAAAAGTGACTCAGCCTGAGGTTAGCACATTGGGGACCTCCTATCTGGTGGTTGGTGATGTCAGTGGAGAGATTTTCATGGAATTATTCAGAGTAAGGCCCACAAAATAGAAATTAACCTATCAGCTGCAGGGCCTAAAAGAAAAACTGATTTGCAACCACTTTGTGACAACACCATTGCCAACCAGAAGTAGCCTTTGGCTCCCTGACCCAGGGCTCAGCTGGAATTTTTTTCACAGTAGCATAAACTCTCAGAGCCAGCATGGCTCTTCGGGATTGTCCAACCCCCTCATTTTACAGATGAGGTTTCGTTTGAAGCTAAGTTCCAAGCAGGATTTGCATCCAACAGGAAAGCATTAACATTTTCCAGAAGCCGCCCTTGCCTCTCTGGTGAAGGCTGCTTTAGCACAAAAGTCCGTGTCTTGTTTCAATTAGCTTGCATGCTCTGGGCACAATTACTGGAAAATGGGGAGCAGGGCAGAGGAAGTGACGTCACTGGAGACCCCGGTAAGAGCCTGGTGATGTTTTGACAGTCACTGAGGCCCTCACTAATGTGGTTGGTGATGGAGACAGGAGTGAGGCTGCTGTTCCTGGAGAAGCTGGTTCTAGGTGGCAGCTACTGGTCCTCAGGGGCCATTATGGGAGAGGCACCCGAGTGTCAGGCCTCAGGTAGGGGTGGGGGTGTGTCCACGTGCTGAGTACCAGGTACAAGAGCGCCACCTACTGTCTGAGGAGATCAAGTGGATCTCTGCCTCCACTGTGGGCAAAGACGCTGTAGTTAAATATGCTGGACGGCTTCTCCAGGGCTCTGAACTGTTTGAGGAGGACCCTTTTCTCCAGCTGTTGTCCCCAACACCCTCCCCCTCCGCCAACCTTGGTTCCTCCACCTAATGCAACTCGCAGAGGAGCTAGGTTCCACCACACTGACCAGGAGTCACAGAGGATGGGCTCCAGTTCCCTGGGTCATGGGCTTTCTATGAATTCACAGAAGCCTCTGCCTCATGGGTTTCTCTTCTGAGAATATGTGTGTGTGTGTGTGTGTGTGTGTGTGTGTGTGTGTGTGTGTGTGTGTCTGTGTGTGTGTGTGTCTGTGGTGTGTCTTGGGGAAGGGAGGGTGGAATGAGGGAGTTGGTGCTATTGTGCTGACAATGCAAGTCCTGTTCTGCAGCCCAGAGGAAAAAATTAGTACAAACTAGAAGAAAGAAAATTTTGGCATTTCCAAGAATACTTAAATAATTGCTGCTATTCTGCCCCTGAGATTGTTGGTTTGTTTGAGTAATATCTCTGGCCTGAGTCCTTAACACCACTGGCTCCCAGAGGCCAGGCTGGCTCTGTCACGTCTGTAAGGATTTCACCAGAATGTGCAATGCTCAGAGGGACTCTGTGGCGACACAAAGGAGCCAAACACTGGGCTATAAGGAAAGATGGTGAAGATGGCATGTCATTGTCCAGGGACACTTCTCGGGGCTCGCAATTCATAGCATTTCAGACGTGTTGAGGCTTTCATGGGGCTTCTTCAGTTCCACTCCAGGCCTCTCCTCCATGGGGAAGGTTAGCTCCATGCCTGCATCCCTTTCTGGGTCAGAAGACACCTATTGGGCTGCCTCAGGGCCACTGGTACTCTAGAATTCCCCCCCAGTGGTCTCCACTCTGTTCCCCCCAGCCCTGCCACAATCCCAGGTGCATCCTCAGGGCTGTCTCCTCCCAGGGGTCCAGCAGGTGCCTCCTCTTTCAGCTTTTGCCTTTAAAAAGGGGCTGATCATCCATCCATCCCCACCCACTCCCTGGGATGCCCTGAAAGGCTCCATTCAGCATCAGACACAGCATCCTTGTTCATTTCCAATCCCTTGGTTCCCAGCTTGGAAGCTGCTAACCAGTCTCCCAGGCCAGGAAAATCCTGCTCAGGTAGGACTGTTCCTAGATCTTTCCAGACTTCCACCTGGATGGCAGCTTTGGAGCTTAAGAGCCAAACATGTTAATTTATTCTATGGTTCCTCCATGATCCTCTACCTTGGAGTCATGCTGGATTGGGGTCTCCCTTCTCCAATGTGCAAGAGTTACATGTTAAGGTAAAACTTGGGGGAGGGGATTCAGAACAGTCCCTACTTCCCATGTCATCCTGTCCCCCCAGGCTTGCTCTCACCCCATGGCTCCTCCCTGTTCACCCCTGCAGCCACCCTCCTCCGGGTGGGGCTGTGTCCCCTCAGATGGCAGCTCCTTCTAGTGATGGCTGCAAGGAGGAAAGGCTGGGACCCGTATGTCTTCAGGTTGCTGTGGAAGGAGGCCGTGGCCTTGAAAGTGTGTCCTGGGTCCCAGAGCCTTGAGCTTTGGTCCTGGGCTCCCACCCATGGGCCCTTTTGACATGTGGGCTATAGAGCAAAGCCTTCAAATCCGCAGCTTTGGCATTGTTATTTGGGTTCCCATTTCCTAGTCATGCAACCTTAGTATGTGAGTGTGCTCAGTCGTGTCTGACTCTTGGCAGCCCCATGGATTGTATCTTACCAGGCCTTTGTCCATGGGATTTTCCAGGCAAGAATACTGGAGTGGGTTGCCATTTCCTTCTCCAGTGCCACCTTTGGGAAGGACTTAATTCCCCCAACCTTAGTTTTCTCATCTGTAAAATGGGGTTAGCAGTACAATCCACAGTCTCTTTTCTGAAACCATGTGGGTCAGATATGCTCCAGGACTCTGAGTTTTTCAGCTTCATTTATGTAACATGGTGCATCTATCCTACATGACATAATACCCCACTGGGGTCTGAAACACCTTGTAATCAAACACATTAGTGTTTCTGCAACTGACTTTTGAACATTCACACTACATGAAATAAAGGCCATAAATGGTCTGGGTCTGTTTAGTTCAAATTTTGTCACCATACAATTTTTTTTTTTTTAATTCTTGTTCAATTTTCAGAACTTTGAAAGGTTGGAGTCGCAGATAAGGGTCAGGCTACCCTGTGTCTCCATAGATAATGGCACGCAGCAGAAAGAGGTGAAAAAATGTTCATGGTCTGATGCCAGACCCAACCCAGCTGTGAGCTTTGGGATAAGACAAGTCTCGTGACAAGGTCAAGGGTGATGGGTGAAGGAGAACCATTCGGGGGCAGCTGTGCTGTTACCCGAGTGTCTGAGCCATTGATTCCAGCTCCACAGATCCTGAGCCTCAGCCGTCACAGGGCCCTGAGCCTTTCCCTGGCATCTGACTTAATCCCCCTCCAGGGCTGGACTTTTCTCGGGTGGATCCTCAGCGAAGACCCCTGCCATACCGGTGACCAGTAAGACCAGAACGACTACCACATGATCGTCCTCAGGCCCCGGGCTCCCCGACCATTATGGGCTGCTGCCTCCGACAGCTGCAGCTGTTCTCCACCTGCATGGCCTTCTCTCTGGGGGCCAGCGTGGGCACCTGGAAGGGGGCCATAGGTAACTGGTCCATGTTCATCTGGTGCTTCTGCTTCGTCCTGACCCTCCTCATCCTCATGGTTGAGTTATGTGGGCTGGAGGGCCACTTTCCCTTCTCCTGGGACAACTTTCTCATCACCTGCAACTGCTACTCTGCCCTCCTCTGCCTCTCGGCCTCCATCATCTACCCCATCATCTACGTTCAGCTCTTGTCCAACAGCCACGACTGGGACCGCACCATCATCTCCACTGTATTCTCCTGCATCGCCTTTGTGGCTTATGCCATGGATGTGACCTGGACTAGGGCCCAGCCCAACATGATCACAGGCTATATGGCCACTGTGCCAGGCCTGCTTAAGGGGCTGGAGACCATTGTGGCCTGTGTCATCTTTGTCTTCCTCAGCAACACCTCCCTGTACCTGCACCAGCCAGCCCTGGAGTGGTGTGTGGCCGTGTACTCCATTTGCTTCATCTTGTCATCCGTGGCCATCCTGCTGATCCTGGGCAAATGTGACAACAGGCTGTCCATCCCCTTCTCCATTTTCCAGCTTGTGCTGACCCTGCTTTCCGTCCTCCTCTACACCACTGCTCTGCTCCTCTGGCCGCTCTACCAGTTCAATGAGGAGTTGGGCAGGCAGCAGTCCAGTGATGTGAACTGCAGCAGTGGACTCCCCACCTCTGTGTGCATCTGGGACCAACAACTGGCTGTGGTTAGTTTGACAGCCATCAACCTGCTGATTTATGTGACTGACCTGGTGTTCTCTGCCCGCCTGAATTTTAACAGCGGCTGAGGCTTTGCCCAAGGGCTCCCAGTTCCTCCCTTGTCTCACCTGAAGTTCATTACCAAGCTCTGATGTCCTCTTTCTGGCTCTCCTCTCTCCCTTCTCACATCCTTCTGCATTCATCTCACCCCCTTTCCCATTTCCTTCCCACCTTCTTCTCTATCTCCTTCCTATTTTCTTTGGTTGCCCATGTCCTGTTTTGCCTTTTTCTTACTTCTCTCATCTTTTCTACATTTTCTGCTTTTTTCCCCTTTTCTGGTCATTCTTGGTTTTTTCGTCTCCTGTGTCATGACCACCTCTCTCCATTTTCCTTCTTCTGATCCATCAGGACCTGAGACTCCTTCCTTCTCTGCCCACCGCCCCCTCCCACCTCCTAAGGTGCTGACTGCACAGCACACAGCCCTCTGTGCAGCTGTTCACACCCTGAGGGGCCTCGTTGCCAAAGTGTGTCTGTCCCCCTGGGGGTGTGTGGTGGGTTTGGGGATGGGGGTGTGTAGCAAGGCATTGGGTCCTTTTTCTTTTTGTACAGTGTGTCTCCCTAAATTTAAGTTAAAAAAAAAAATCTCTGGAGGTCAGTAATTTCCAGTGGGAGGACTCTTGAAGCAGAGACCCTGGGTCCCTGGGCCCAGCTAGTGGTTGGCCCGTCTGACATTGGCTCCAGAATTTCTCCAAGCTTACTGAAAACCCACCGCCTGCAGAGGCCATCTTAAAGAAAGCAAAGGCTGAATGCTTCCTATCCCAACTGCTCTCTGGGGAATCAAAGTAGGAGCTGGTGAAGAACCCCAGAGTCTTGAAGACTCCTGTCTGCAGTATTGGTGAGGGGCAGTGATGTGGCCCTCCTGCCTCAGTGATCAAAAGAGCAGGTCCTGTCTCTGCAATGAGAAGAGCATGGCCCTGCCAGCCTTAAAGCTGATGTTAGCCTGCCTGGGATTTTTTGTTTTCTTTTTCTGGTCAGGAGGATAAAATTGACTGAATGGACCTGTTCTTAAAGGTGAAATTTCTTTTCTGTTTTTCTGGGGAAGGTGGGTTGAATGAGTGGGGATTTTAACTGCTGTAGTCAAATGAATTGCAGTACTTGAGTGTGTGTGCGCACACACGTGTCAGTGGCTTTTTGCCACTGCTTTCTGCTTTTCTGAGACTCAGGCATAAAGTGACCTATATAAATGTAGAAAAAAATATGTATGGTTTCTTTTAATTACCTGGAGTTTCCAATCCCCATCAGCCCCTGCTGTCAACCATAGACAGAAATCTTTTCCTTTCGTCCACATCCACAATGTTCTTTTTTTTAAAACCTCAAAGATAAAATAAACAGAATGAAAATGAAACCAACAAAATCCACAGGTCCTAATTGCCCAAATTTGACTAGAAATCAGAAAAAGCCTAGGTCTTAAAGGGGCCCGGCTAGCCCTTAGATGCCTGTCTTTAAAGATGTGTGCTTTATGCATACTGACTGTGTGTGGCTGTGTGTGCGTGTGTGTGTGTGTGTGTGTGTGTGTGTGAGTGGGCAGGCATACATTAAGACCAGCAGCCCTTTAAATAACTGGCGAAGTCATCTCAAGCCTTCTTTTCTTGTTCTCAGTTACAAAGTCTCAGAGCCCAGCATCCTAGAGTCACCAGGCCCAGAAGGGCCAGGCAAGCAGAACTGTGGGGGAGGGGAGGGAAGGACCCCCACTGCTGCCCCTCACTCCTATACTGGGGTGAAGCATGTGATCCTCACCCAGGGGCAGGTTGGATGGAGGGGAAGGGCTCCCAGGAGGTGATCCTCATGGCAGGAAAATCTTAAGAAGCAATAAAATAAAATTTGTATTTTAAGACAAGAAAAATTTATTTGGTCAAATACACCTAAAGCTGGGTTAAAAAGTTGAACAGATTTCTTTTTTGCAGGACTTCTTAGGACTAAAAGAGATCTATAGCAGTAAGTGATTCCCAGATTTATATGATCAGGGAAGTGGTTTTTTTCCATGGAACATCATGGACTAGTATTCCATGGGATACTCTTTGGGGACCATCAGTCACATCCCCCTCCCCCAGACTGGTTCAACAGCTTGACCGGGAAGGCTCTAACAACATCACCTCCCACAGTGGGCCATCTTATTTTGCAGCAGCTTTCATTCCTTAGGGAGTGCAAAGTCCACTTGCCCTGCTCTCTGGACTTGCACAGAGAATTTCAATCTCTGCTCAGCTGGAGAGTTCTCTGAAAAGTCCTCAAGAGTCCTTGGCTCTCCTCTGCTCACCTGCTCTAGACAGAATGTCTTTGCATTGATTCAGGTGCTCGTTCAGGGCAGGAATTGGGTTTTGCTGTGGGATCTGCAGTGCCTGGTACACAGTGAAAATATAGTAAATAGTTGTTTAGAAGAGAAAGGCATAGAGCCTCCCTGGATTGCTCACATAACCACAACAGTGCCTCAGTCTCCAGAACTTCCACATTCCTGGCTGCTTCATTGTCAAGCCATAGCCTTTCCTAGGGTTTATTATTAGCAAAGGAGACAAGGCCCCCGATGGCAGGAAGCGGGCTGGGGCTCAGGGTGCTGGCCCTTCAGCCCTGGGGGCCTCTCAGCAAAGAGTCCCTTGGAAACAGGGCAGCTGTCCCAGGAAGGGGCGGGCTGGGGAGGGGCCTCACTCCCCCCACACTGGACCCTGGAGGAGCCCCTGTGTGAGCAGGACTGCAGCCCTGGCTGGCGGAACTGTCTGGGGCAGGTTACCTGGGCAATTCCATGGTCTCCAGGGTCTCTGCCTCTCTGGCCATGTGTCCCTGTCACAGCCCTGAAACCCCTTCAGGCCCCTGTTCTCCTGTCTCAGTTCCAGTCCAGGCCCCTCCTCCATGACGAAGGTTGGCTCCAAGCCTGCATCACTTCTTGGTCAGAAGACACCTACTGGGATGTCTCAGGGCCACTGGGATCCTAGAATCCTCCACAGTCATCTCCACTCTGCACCCCCTCACCCCTGCCCCTGTCCCGGGTGCATTCTCAGGGCTGTCCCCTCCCAAGGGTCCTGCAGGTGCCTCCTCTTTCAGCTCCTGCTCTTTAAAGGGGGCCGACCATTTGTCCATCCTTACCCGCTCCCTGGGATGCCCTGGAAGGCTCCCCATCAGCATCAGACACAGCATCCTTATTCATTTCCAATCCCTCTTCCCAGCTTGGAAGCTGCTAACCAGTCTCCCGGGCCAGGAAATCCCTCACTCAGGTAGGGCTACTTTCTAGATTTTTCTGGACTCTTACCTGGATGGCAGCTTTGAAGCTAAAAAATCAAACATGATGTCAGTTTACTCTGTGGTTCCTCATGACGCCACCCCAGAGTCATGCTGGGTGGGTGTCTCCTTTCCCCAGTGGGGAAGAGTCACATGTTAAGGCAAAATTAGGGGATGGGAATTTAGAACAGTCCCTACTTCCCACGTCATCTTGTCCCCACAGCCTTGCTCTCACCCCATGGCTCCTCCCTGCTCACCCCAGAAGCTTCCATCCTCAGAGTGGGGCTGTGTCCCCTCAGATGGCAGCTCCTTCTAGTGATGCTGCAGGGAGGACAGGCCTGGACACGTGTGTCTTCAGCTTGCTATGGAAGGAGGCCGAGGGCCGTGAAGGTGGGTCCTGGGCTCCCACCCGCGGGCCCTGCTGACATGTGGACTGTAGAGCAAAGTGCTCAAACCCACAGCTTTAGCTGTGTTTTCTGAGTTCCCTCTTCCTGGTCATGCAGGCCACCTTAGGTGAAGGCATTTGATTCCTTGAACCTTAGTTTTCTCGTCTATAAAACGGGGTTAGCAGTATAATCCACAGTCTCTTTTCCGAAACCCTTGGGTCAGATATGCTCCAGAATTCAAAATTTTTCAGTTTCAGACAAGTGACATGGTGCATCTATTCTATATGACAACATCCCACTGGGGTCTAGAAGTTCCTTGTAATCAAGTACATTAGTGTTTGTACAACTGCACTTTTGAGCACTCATAATACATAAAATAAATGAAGATCATAAATTATCCCAGATCTGTTCAGGTCAAATTTTGCTACCAAATGAATTTTTAAAAATTCTTGTTCAGTTTTCAGAGGATTGAAGGTTTGGGGTTGCAGATAAGGACCTTCCTACCTTGTGTCTCTATAGATAATGGCACGCAGCACAAAGAGATATAAAAAATGTTCATGGTTGAGGCCTGAGCCACCCCAGCTATGAGGTTTGGGATAAGACAAGTCTCTGGACAAGGCCAAGGGTGATGGGTGGGGAGAACCATTTGGAGCAGCTGTGCTCTTACCCGAGTGTCTGAGCCATTGGTTCCAGCTCCACAGATCCTGAGCCTCAGCCCTCATGGGGCCATGAGCCTTTTCCAGGCGTCTGACTCAATCCACCTCCGGAACAGGATCTTTTTCTGGTGGGTCCTTAGGGAAGACCACTGCTGTACTGGTGACCATGACCTGCCTGACCGTCACAACACCATGACCACCCGGTCGACATCCCCAAGCGGTGACCCCAAGTTCAACATGTGCCGCTTCCTCCGCCTGCCGCAGCTCTGCTCCACTTGCATGGCCTTCTCGCTTGTGGCCGACATGGGCAATCCGAGAGGGGCCATAGGTAACTGGTCCATGTCCTTCTGGTGTGTCTGTTTCGCCATGACCATCATCATTGCCATAGTTGAGTGTTGCAGGCACCCGTCTCCTTTCCTTTCTTCTGGTACATCTCTGTCACCTATGCCTGCTACGCTGCCCTCATCTGCCTCTCGGCCTCTATCATCTACTCCATCACCTATGTCCAGTTTGTGCCTTATGGTCCTAACCGGGACCGGG